GGCGAAGCGAAGAAGCGGCCAGCTGCAGGCGCAGCAGATGAAGCAGCAGAGAGCGAGTTGCCAGACCAGAAAGCAGCAGAGGGCGAGTTGTCAGACAAGAAAGCAGCAGATGGCGAGTTGTCAGACAAGGAAGCAGCAGACAAAAAAAAGGTGACGCCGCGGCAGGTAAGGAAACACAGAAAGAGGGTGACGCAGAGGCAGAGGGTCAAGCAGCGGCAGAAGAGGACGCATCGATGTCTGACGAAGTATACGATGAAGAAGTTGAAGGGGAAGTGGATGTGCCCATCGACAGTTGCGACGGCGACGGTTTCGACATGGTTCCCGCCAGTTCTTTTGATGGCGGCCTCTTCGGGATCTCGAGTACAACGGAACCGCCGATAAGCCAAAATAAAGCAGTGATCACAAAGACAATCAAAGTTAAATAAAGACCCAAAAGACCAGAAGGAGGCGGAGGCAACACCAGCAGCATCCGACAAACTAGCCGTGGAAACCCCAGAAAAGAATGCCAGCCGCCTTCTCGGGACCAAGGACAAGTCACATGGAAATGGCAAGCAGGGCGGGTGCGACGGTCAGGGCAACACGGGCGAGAAAAGGCACGGGCAAGACAAGCGGACAAGGTAAAGGCAAGAAGGGTGGATACGGTAAGGGAAAGAAGGGCAAGAGCGCGACTGGCAAGAGGAGCGAAGACAGCGGAGACAAGGGCAGCTGCGGAGCGAAGCCAACGATCGCTTCTTTCAGCGATGCCAAGAAGATGGCGTACATTGCAAGTTATTGAATCGCTTCGCTCATTCCGCCGGCCCGTGATATGGCACCGCTGGTTTTTGTCTGCGCGTTCGTTGCCCATGTTGCGCTCTTGGGGGCGGGTGTCGTTCGGGCGCGTTGCGTGGGGAGTTTTGATGGTGAAGCAGCTCCCTGGCAAGAGGGGCGAAGACAGCGGAGACAAGGGCAGCTGCGGAGCGAAGCCAACGATCGCTTCTTTCAGCGATGCCAAGAAGATGGCGTACATTACAAGTTATATATATATAAAAAAAAAAAAAAAAAAAAAAAAAAAAAAAAAAAAAAAAAAAAAAAAAAAAAAAAAAAAAAAAAAAAAAAAAAAAAAGCAAGGGCGTCCCAGTGTACTCCGACGCGTGGCATATCGTGGAAGATGAGGTCCACTGCGAATTCAAAGATGTAGGAATCATCAAGGTGAAGGGGCTGAAGCCAGGCGACCTGCCAATGCTTGAGGAACTGAAGAAAGACGTCGAAGAGAAGACAGCGGCAAAAAGCAGCAGGCAGAGGAAGATGCGCACAGATATGGGAAGGGTGGTTGGGCGACGTGCACTGGACCATCAAGGGCAAGAAGGATTGCGGGGCTGGGGGCAGCGGGCATGATGAGAAGGAGGGGCGAGTGAGGGGGAGGGGGAAGATGAATCGCACTCGGTAGGTATTCCTCCATCCCTTGATGTTCCCCTCTTCCCCCTCTTTTGAACCCATGGTTACACAGAGTATCCAAGCGCCCATCCTCCCCACCAGCTAGGACCGCAAGTACATCTACCAACTGCTCTATAACGGCCAGAGCGCCTGCCAAACGTCCGTGGACGGCAACCCGAAGCTCACCGACGAGCAGGCGAGGGCGATCATCATTCAAGTCGGCGAAGAGTATCAAGCAGGAGAGATTTGCATGGGGGAGTGCGTTCACAGAGGGAGGAGGGAATGTGAGGGATGATGTTGGGCGGAGGACTGTGGGAGGATCGGGAAGAGGCCAAGGGGAGATGGGCAGGGGATGACGAGCAGAGTAGCTCAATGGCAGGAACCATCGATTGGGACCAACTCTACGAGCGCAGGGGCCAGCTCGCTAGCGAGCTCGACGGTGGCAACGTCGACGACGGAGCCGACTGAAGCCCGAAGCTGAGGAAAGCCAAAGCGAAAGCCTAAAGGAAGCCCAAGGATCAGGAAAGCAAGCACGCAAGTGAGCTTCCAGTGAGGGAAGCCCGAAGCTTCCTGCGAGCAATCGGTGAGTCGCGGCTGACGGCGTCTCATATTCTGACACTTTGATCTGGAAACGATGTCTTCCTACTCTCCTCCCTCTCCTCCTTCCCTCCCCTCTCCCTCCCCCCCCCTCTCTCTCCCTCCTGGTCTTCCCCCTCGCTCCCGCGCTTGACCTCCCCCCTTCACTCCTCGAGCCCCGCATCCGCCCCAAGCAGCCCCCAGTCCCACGGCTGCCGGGAGAGGCGGGCGACGAGGACAGGGACTGCCAACGACGAGGACTGGGCGCGAGGGCGAGGGGGCGATCGACGGGGCGGGAGGGCGGCAGGGCTTCGCCCAGACACCGTGAAACTTTGGTCTTCCGATGAGATCCGATCCAGCTGATTTGTCGATCCTCCGATCCTTCGATTCCTCGTCACCTCCGAGTAGGGCGTGACATCAACCGCGGGATTCAGCAGAGAGTTGAACCATGCGGTTTTGCCCCCGCGCTAGGGGTCCCCGGGGCCCCTCGGCACCGCACCTTTGACCAGAGCTCGCCACCTCTGATCCCGCTGCATGGCGCGCGAGATGCCCAGCTTGTTCAGCCCCTGGTCGCGCTGCTTGCCCTGGGCATGCTGGCCAGGGGCGTGGCACTCGCCGTGCATGTCCGAGCCTCTCCTCCCCTGCTGCTCCGTCTCTGGGTTCTCGACGCGATAGCTCCGACGCTCGTCTGCGCAGACGTCGGCGCCGCCTTGGGCGCAGCGAGCGCGGTCCTTGCTGGCGCTGCTGTTGGAGTGGCCGTCGGCGCGGCCGTCTGGCTTCTCGCCTTCGCTGACGTCGGCGCGGCCATCGACGCGCAGCCCGGAGGCCTCTCCGCCGTCGCGGTCGACATGGCCACCAGCGCAGCCGACGGAGACCCTGGCGATGCTGTGGCCGACCGACACGGGCGTCGGCGCAATGAGCATAGCCGTTGTCGGCGCTGAGGACGGCGCGGCCGTCGGCGCGACCGTCGGATCTCTCGGCGGTGCCGATGTCGGCGCGGCCGTCGGCGCAGCACGCGATGACGGGTTCCGCTCTGCCGCCGCTTTCGTCGCTCGGGGACTTCGCTGGCGTTGCCTTCGAGGCGGCAGTCGGAATGGCACTCGGATGCCTTGATGATGCCACCGCCGTCGTCGTCGACGTGTGCGTTGGCGCTGCCGTCGAAGACCCTGCCGGAGCCGTTGTCGACGCGGCTATCGGCGCAGCGGGGGGGGGCCTTGTCGACGCTGCTGCTGGCGCGGTCGCTGGCGTAGCCGTCGGAGATTATTGCGATGCTGTTGTTGACGCGGTCGTCGGCGCAGCCGCCGTGGACTTCGGCGACGCTGCCTTGTCGGCCGGATGCGAAGGTAGCTTCCGCCCAGCCCGCGCCCACGCATCAACGCCATTGTCGGCGCGGATGCTGGCGCAGCCGTCGGAGCATTTGCGCTGCAGTTCGCACGGTCGTCGGCATTGCGGATGGAGACTTTGTCGGCGCGGCCGTCGACGGAGCCGTCAGCGGCGCTTAGGCCAGCGCAGCCGTCAGCTCAGCCGCCGGAGACCTTGCCGACGCTGCTGCCAGCCATGCCGGCGTTGCCGCCAGCGTAGCCGTCGTCGCAGCCGCTGGCGATGTCGACGGCGCCGTTGTCGGCACGCTCGTCCGCGCAGCGCTCGGTGACCCGGTCGACGTCGCTGCCGTTGCGGTCGCTGGCACAGCCGCCGGAGGCATCGGCGATGCTGCGGTCGGCACTGCCGGCGCGGTCGCCGACGCGACAGGTGGAGACCCTGCCGACGCTGCCATCGGGGTGGCCGTCGGAATAGCCGTCGGCGACCTCGGTGACGTCGTTGTTGACGCCGACGTGGCCGACAGCGTCGCAAGCAGAGACTTCGCCTGCGCCGTTGCTGGCGCGGCCGCTGACACAGCCGTCAGAGCCATCGTCGAGTTTGACGTCGGAGCCGCTGTCGGCGCGGCAGGCGAGTACCTTGCCGGCGACGCTATTGGCGGCATGGCCATCGGCGTCGCCGCCGAGCCTCTCATCGATGCTGATATCGGTGCGGCTGCCGGCGAGGCACTCCGAGATTATGCCGACGCTGCCGCCTGCGCGTCGGTCATCGTAGCCCTCGGAGGCCTCGACGAGGCCCCTGTCGTCGCAGCCGCGCGCGCGCAGCGCTCGGATACCTGGTCGACGTTGCAGTCGGCATGGCCAGCGGCGTGGCCGTCGAATACCTATGCCGCTATCGGCGCGGTCGTCGACCCGGCAGGCGGAGACTTTGTCGCCGGTGCTGTCGGCATGGCCGCCAGCGCAGTCGTCGGCGACCTCGGCGACGCTGTTGTCGGCGCGGCCGTCGACGTCGAAGTGGAGACCCCGTCGGACCTCCAGCAGGCCGAGTTTAAACGGTCCACTCGATCGGCATTGCTAATGCAATCGGGTCAGCATAGCCTTGTCGTGGAGATCTCAGGTCTCGCACTGAAAAAAGTGCGACCTACATCAGGTATTCCAGACTTTCCAGCGTCACTGGGCCGCCTGGTTCCGACCGAACCACGCGGCGGGGACAGCCGCGCATCGTGCTGTCAGCAAGTGCCAAGCTACCGCGGCTCTTATACGGGCCGCGGGACGGGCCGACAAAGAAACGCGGGCCTGGCAGGGGGCAAAAACGGGCAGGGGAGCGAGGGGCCGAGGAGCCGAGGAGCGAGAGGCGGAGGGGGAGAGGAAGGGAAGACGACAGCAAAGGACAGACTGGGCCGACAGACGGAGGGAGGGGAGGCGGGAACGGGAGCCAAGGAGGGGGAGGAGAGAGACAGAGAGAGAGAGATAGAAAAAAAAACAAGAGAGAGAGAGAGAGAAAAAAAAAAGAGAGAAAGAAGGAAAGAGAGGAAGACAGAAGAGGGAGGGGAGGAGAAGGGAAAAGGGGAATCAAACGAGGGCCGGGGCCAAGGCAAGAAAGGATGCGGGCCGAGGGGTGCCTACGGGCGACAGAGCAAAGGGAAAAATGCGGGCGGGGGAGGGAGGGTAGGAAAACTATAGACCAAAGATCCCTCAGTCGATCTGGGCGCTGGCCTCTTCCTGACGTTTCGCCTGCAGCAAGGTCGCCGCGCGGCTTACATGATCAGCGTGGGCTCCGACTTCCTGAGGGATCCTGGCCAGCAGAGCGCGTGCGTTCGCACGCATCAAAGTGATGCCAAGGCCAGAATATAAGGCAGTGGTGACACTGCTCACCGTCTCGCCACTGCGCGCTGCGCGGGCATGAATCAAGGCCCAGAGCGCGTCTTGCGCCATCTCGCCCCATCCGCCGAAGGACTCCACGACCTTTGGGGCTAGGCGGATGCCAAGTTGCTCGCAGCGTACACCAGTATCTCTGTCTGCAAGCTTCTCCCCCTCGCACGACGTGGCCGCGCTCAGCTGTCTGGCGGCGGCCCCTTGCACCGCAGACTGAGAGGCGACGTCACGGCACAGTCGAGGGCCAAGGGCGGGCCAAGCGGCCAAGTCGGGAAATTGATGTCGCCCGGCCGCCGGCGAGGGTCATCTGGCAGCAGCCCGCTCTCCTCCTTCTCGGCCTGGAGGCCCGCAGCATGCGCAAAGGAGTGGACCTGATCGCGCAAGGCGTTGTGCACCTTGACCGCGTCGCCACCCGCCATGCAGAGAGAGAGTGCAGGCCCTGCGCGTCCATCACCTGGTCGCACTTCGGACACCAGTCGTCTCTGCTAGCTGCTAGAGGCGTGGCAACCCAGCCACAAACGCACGGCCGCCAGAAACTCGAAGTGGGACATGCGCTGCCCGAGGGCGCTGCACGGCTGGGCCTGCAGCCATGCGCTCGCGTGCGGCGCGCTGGCTGCGCGGAGCCTCGCCTTGTGGGCGTTTGGGCTCGCAGCGATCAGCTGGTCCGAAAGACGCTCGTCCACTTTCATTGACCGAGCCCGCTGGCTGGGGAAGGAGCCGTCGGCAGCAAAATCCTCGCTTGTGATGTGGTGCTCCTGGCGGGCGCCAACATTGTAGAGGTTGGCAGCTGCTACCATGGTTCTGGCATCGCAGTCTCCGTCCCACGAGAAGGCAGCGTCTATCTGACCGCATAAGTGACGCGTTGCCATGCGGGAAGCAAGGTAGGCGGCAGCAGCGTGAGAATTTCCGAACCGAAATTCCCAGCCCTCCTTTGCTCAAGGGAAGGGACGCCTGCTGCCACTGACTCTCGTTCAGCCCTGTGCCTGTGCAGATCTGGAACGTCGACCTGCGAGCCTGCTGGCTCCGTTCCAGCCCACGCGTTATCCAGTCGGGCCGCGTCGTCCGCATATTCGGCATCAGTCTTGCAGCTCCAAAACATCGAGAAAGCAACTTGTGGGCGACCTGGGCGCCCTCCAAAAATGGCACCTCGTCGAGCAGCGCGGTCAGCTTCTGCACTCTCTTCACCTCCACGTGCTCTGCGCAATGCTCTTGACCACCGACAGGAGCGCCCAGCAATTTGAAACAACCGTCGACTTTCCGCTGGACAATGGCGGGGAACTCGGCCAGGTTGCACTCCGTGTTGCGCCCAGCCGTGGGAATGACCTCGCACTTGCCCAAGTTCAGCTCGAGGCCCAGGCTTGCCGCTTTTCGCTGAATCAGCCGCAACACCCGCAGCGTCGTGCCGAACTCGCCAGCCCGCAGCGTCGCGCCGAACTCGCCCGCAGCGTCGCGCCGAACTCGCCCGCAGCGTCGCGACGACCCCGTCGGCGCTGTTACTGGAAAGGGCCGCCAGAGACATCGTCGGGGCTGATGTCGACGCCGCCGTCGGCGCAGCGGCCGGATACCTTGTCAACGATATTATCGGTGCGGTCACCGGCGTAGCCGTGGGCCTCCTGTCGATGCCGATGTCGGCGCGGTTGTAGGCTTTAGGCGCAGCATTGGGAGACCCCGCCGACATTGCTGCCAATGCGGCCGTCGTCGCAGCCGTCGGGGTCCTCGGCGAGGCCACTGTCCTTGCGGCCGTCCGCGCAGCGCTCTGACAAGCGTATCGTCGATGTTGTTGACGGCATGGCCGCCGGGGAAGCCTTCGAAGTCATTGCCGACGTCGCTGCCGCCGTGGCCGCGGTCGTAGCCGTCGGGGACCTCGGCAATGCTGCCGGGCACCTCCAGCTGCTCCGGGTGGTGCGGCGCGTAGACGTCTGCGATCGGGTCCGCAACGGTGACAAGCGTTCCCGCGACGATCTCGACTGGCTGCCCCGCTGCTCCTCTACCTCCTCGTCCTCCTCTCGGTGCACCTGATCCTCCTCCCCGTCCTCGTCGTTCGCCTCACCGTCCTCGTCGTGGTCCCGTTCACTCTTCTCGGGTTTCCCCGCTGTCGTTCCCGAAGGGGGGAGGGAGGACGGGGAGGAGAACCAGAACGGAGGACGGAGAGGGCATGGCGCTGAATTCGCCCGTACCATCTCCAGCTTCTCCAATGCGTTGGCGAAAGCTACAGTGCCGCTGAAGCCGCAGGCGTCGATGCGTCGATGATGCCGTAGGAGTCCGCGTTGGAGGCCCGCCGTGCTCGCTTCGAGCGTCGGCGTCCGGCCAGGCGGCGGCGGCAACACTCTTGCACGCCTGCCCCTGCGGCGGCGGCACTCCCTGAGGACGGAAGGGGGGCCTGACTCGCCGCTCCCTCCCTTGGCGGCTCGCGCCGAGCCTCCGTGCTCGGCCAGGCGGCGGCACTGCTGCACGCCTGCCCCATCGCCGGCGGCACTTCCCGAGTACGGGAGGGGTCACTACTCGCCTGCTCCGGCGCCAGCAGCACTCTCTGAGGACGGGAGGGGCCCCTGACTGGCCGCACCCCCAGTGGCTCGTATCGAACCCCGGTCCCCTTCGCGGAGGCGGCGCCTTCTCGGCCCCCGTCCCCCCGCACGGCCGCGTCCGGCCAGCGGTCGGTTGCCTCCTGGCCTGCACGACCCGCCGACAGTGCGACGCTTGGAGGACCCTGGCCTGGAGGTCCCACCAGCAGCGCGTCGCGCACGACAGGTAGGCTTCGGCCCAGTGGCCCCGCCGGCAGCGCTTTGCGCGCGCCAGGCGGGCCATCGCCAGGGCCCTCCGGGACCGGGATCTGGTCCTCGTCGATGCCACGAAGCTCAGCGCCAACCCAGCCACCAGCAGTACCACGTAGGGCCAGGCCGTGCCGGACTCCTCGGAACCCAGCGCCAACCCACCTGCTCCCCAGCCCCCAATCCAGGAGGTATCTTGATCCTATTGGGCTCTTCGGGCGTCTGCCTCTCCTCGTTCCCCGGCCCAAGGCTCCGCCAACGGCACATTGTGCACGCCTGGCGGAGCTTTGCTTGGGCTCTTCGGGCGAGGGGCCTCGCCGCTGACCTCCACGTTGACTGGCTCCGCAACCCGCACGTACACGTCGTCGTAGCAGTACTTGTATGGAGGCGCCGTTGTACCTTTCCAGATACGCGCGCCGCGCCTCTCTCTCCACCTCCGCCTCGCAATGGGACCCGCCGCGATAGGGCCTGCGGGCTGTGGACCAGCTCCAGGCCGTGCTGGGCATAGTGCCCAGCGCCCCGGCAGTCAAGGCCACCTTCGGCGCGCTTCCGCCCGCCAGGAGCCTCAGCAGCCCGATCAGCAGGCCTGCGGCGGCCGACATCGCGCGGCTCCCGTGAGGCGGCGCCGCTTGACGCCTGGCCTTCGCACCTCCCTGTCCGCGCACCCCAGCGCCAGTGGGCAGCGCTGCCGCCCCCAGCGACCGAGCGCCCCGCGCGGCGGCATGGCGCGGCCGAGCGCAGCTGTTGCGCCCGGGATCCCGCGGGCACCAGATCTTCTGGGCCTCTGGAATGGGACCCCGGAGGGCCCGGCCTTGGGCCACTGAGGCCGACCCCCAGCTTGACCCCCAGAAAGGCTTGAGCCCCCGAAGGGGGAAGAGAGAGAGGGGCAGGCAGAGGCAAGGGCAGAGACGGAGAGGAAGTCCGCGCCGATCAAGGGGTTCGATGAGCCATGAGTTTTATCAAACATCCCAGTCTAATTAGCGCAAATCGAAGAATCCCGCGCGGACCTCCGACAATTTATGTTTGTGCCGCTGTGCTTTCTTCGGAAGGGTTCCCCCCTCGCCCGCCCCGATCGTCGCCGATCTGGCGCCAGAACTCCTACGGGAGCGTCGAGCTCACCTTCCCCGTCACTTTCGGGCAGGCCGAGCTGCTGCGGCAGCACTTGGAGCGGCAGCACGGCGGCGTGCAGCTCTTCGGGCGGGAGCAGCTGGAGCAGCTGTTGCGGCAGGAGACCGGTTTTTTTTAGGGTCCGCCGCTGCCTATTCGGCGGGTCCAGCAGTATTGTTGATGCCAGCATCGTGTATGCAGGCAGTGTGATTTCGCACATTCCCTGGCTGGCTCCACTGTTGTGCCTGGCGGGCGGCCCACTCCGCGCCAGGGGGCGCCCCACCCGATAACCTGACCTTGTCGGTTGCCCAGGTCTGAATGGGGTACGCAGTATTGGTTCGCGCGGGCATGCATGGGGTTGCCCAAAGCGAAAAGGTCATGGTATCGGCGGCCCCCCCCCCCAGCGGGCACCCACGTTATCGCCACCGACATTAAAAACGATCTCCAGTTCCGCGAGGGCTATGCGTCGCGCCACCCCACGGCAGTCGCCGAGGCTTGGCGGAGGAGGAGGAGGAGGAGGAGGAGGAGGAGGAGGAGGAGGAGGAGGAGGCGGAGGCGGAGGAGGCGGAGGAGGACAAGCTAGGTGCGCTCGCGTCATATCTGACATCCTACCCCTCCCTCCCATCCCTTACCATGGCGCAGATCTCCTCTCCATTCGCATAGTCGGATGTCGAGCAGGGCAATGATCCCGAGAGGATGCGCGATGCATCGTAGAGCACGGCATAGCAGGGTGTAGAAGAGCACGGCAAAGCGTAGTATGTCACAGCATGGCGTGGCGTTGCGTAGTGAAGAATTGCATCACGACGCGTTGCAACGCAACTAATGGCATCGCACAGCGGCACACAACAGAACATGACATAGCATGACGTTGAAGATCAAGGCGTAGCACGGCATAGCATGGCGGCGTGGCACTGCGCAGTCAAGTATTGCATATCCTAGCGTTGCAGCTGAAGGCATGGCATCGCACAGCAGAACACCACATAACATTGCATTGTATGCCGTGGCATGGCACTGCAAATAACGACGCCAGCGCTGCAGCGGGAACACGATTCGGAACGAGCGGAAGCCGGAAATGAGGCCAGCGCTGCAGCGGGAGCACGATTCGGAACGAGCGGAAGCGCGGAAATGAGGCCAGCGCTTCAGCGGGAGCACGATTCGGAATGAGCGGAAGCCCGAAAGTGAGGCCAGCGCATTAGCGGGAACAACATTTTGAACACAATTTCAGCGAAAACCTAACTCCCGGGAATCCTGTGTGTAAAAAACAGTACGCGGAGGGGGGCAGGACATCTTCTGGACGTCATTAGGGGAGAGAGGAGAGTAGTATTCATATTGTGTAGTTGTGGAGGAGGAGGAGGAGGAGGAGGAGGAGGAGGAGGAGGTACTGCCACTCTTCCCTTGTTTTTGCCTTGTTTGGGCCTCCTGGGAGGCCCTTGTCGCGACGGCTGGATTCGCTTCCAAATCCCGGCCACCTCGGGAGGAGTCCGTGGAGTGGCGAAATCGGTGCGGTTTGGCTTCCCCGCGTCCGCGGGAGGGTGGCGCCAGGGGCGCGGCCTTGTAAGAAGGCGAGGGGGATTCTGGAAGAGCCCGTGGGCTTCCAAGAGGCCCTCTTGGAGGCTGGCCGGGCCCCCCTTGCCTCTTGGAAACTCCCTCGCGCCCCTCCCTGGTGGGTGCCGCCACAAGCCACAAGAGGTGGACGTCCCGCCTCCGCCGGGCAAGCTGGTCGTGGTCGGTGACCTCCACGGCCAGCTCCAGGACCCCCTCTGCCTCATCAGATTTCTCGGTCGGTCTCCTCGCCGAGGCCCCCTCACCGGCTAGTTGTGCTCTGTGTCGCGGTCGCTCCTTCGGCCCTCCTCGGGCCCTCGCTCGTTCGCTGGCCCCTCTCTGCGGTCTGGAGATCTGCCCTCATGGAGACAGGCCAATCCTTACCTCAGGGGCAGACTGACCGACCATGGCACACCGCCTCGTTCCGTCACGACCCCTTCGCCTCGCTCCAAGACGTGCGCAGGCAATCGCACAGGGATTCTAGGCTTTCCAGATGGGGTCCGAGTAGATGAGGTCGGTGGATTGCGCCGCATCGCCGATGCATCACCGATACGGCTCGATGCGGAGGCCGATTTGCTCCACGCCGACTCGCCGATGCATGTCCCACGTCGCCGTTGCATCGCTGACGCATCTTGCATGCATCGACGATGCGGTGCGATGCTCCGACCCCATCTACTCGGACCACATTTGGGAGGCATCTACTCGGACCCCATCTACTCGGACCGCGAAACAACAACTAGATGGGCATGCATTCTCGGAGGTCCGTACGCTTCTTCTTGTCGATCAGCTGCATGCTCGCAGCTCCTTCGAATCTTCCCGGGGCCGCTTGTAGCGTTGGTCCTCCGAACCCACCCCTGCCCCTACGGTGGGGGCGTTCGACAAGAAAGGTGCCCAGGAGGATTCTTTATCTAATGAGGGCGGCGGTAAGATCCATGGCCAATCCACGATCGGAGCTCCACCGGCTACCAGACCGTGGATTCCTTATCCAATGCAAGGGGACGGTGGACGCCATACGCGATGTCCAGAGAGCTCAGGGCCCCACCTCCCTGCATGCCCACTGGTGGGCCCGCGTGGGCGACGCGGTGGAGGGGGCCACGGCCAGACACGTCCCAGCGCACACGTCCGAGGAGGCGGTCAGGCGCGGCGTGATCACGGCCATGGAGCGTGATGGGAACCGCCTGGCCGACCAGGGGGCCAAGGAAGGAGCTGCCCTCCAGGTCCCAGGTGACGATGAGGTGCTGGTGCTGGAGGGCCTTCAGGCGCGGGCCCGCGATGCGGCTCGACTTGCAGCGGAGATCTTGGTCTGCATCTCCGACGCGGGCGCCCGCGATTGCTGACCCACCGAGGCCCTTGAGGACCTGGACTCCGGATTCCCCGAGTTCGACTTCGGCGAGCCGAGCACCTCCGCATGGGGGCTTCCCTGGCTTGGCGGCGGCGGCGGGGCTGGCAGCGGCGGCGGCTGCGGCGGCCTCCAGTTCGGCCCCCAGCGCCGCAGGCGGAGTCGCGGCGCACAGCAGTTCCAGCGGCTCGTCGGTTCGCAAGCGGCCTGCGGCCTGCCTGCAGCCCCCGCTGGAGGGCAACGGGGAGGCGACTACGCGCGACGCTGAGGATGGCGGCTCCTCGGCGGCGGAGATGCGGCTGAAGGTGGCGCGCAGGCTCAGGGAGGAAAAGGCCTAGGCTCAGCCCCAGGTCGAGCCGCCTCCCACCGCCGCGACCACCTCGGCGGCGTCGAGAGCCCCGAAGCGCAAGGCGGCCGGGGAGGCGCCTCGCAGGACGGTCGGACAAGCGCGGGAGGTTCGCAGCAGGCTGGCCAAGGCTGCGGCTCCGACGCCCCAGACTGCAGCTGGGAAACCCTGACTGGTCCATGGGCACCAGTTGCTGGATGGGGCAGGTCCTCAGCGGGGCTGAGCCGCCCTTCCTGGCGTGCACGGCGTGCTATATGTGTACGCCAGGACGCCCAAGATGGTCAGGAGGGGCTTCAGCAGCGGCCGCAGCGGGGCCGAAGCCAGGGCCCGCCAAGGCTCGCGTGCCGGCCAGGAACGATCTCGAGCGGAGGATCCTCCCAGGGACGAAGCAGCCGATCGGCGAGCTTCAGTCCCCCTCGGCAGCCACGAGGGCGACGTGGGCCGCGAAGCTGAAGGCGGACGCCCAGCAGCAGCTGGAGGGCCATGGCGGGGCTGCGGCGGCTGGAGCTGGCGAGGCGGCTGGGGCTGCGGCGCCACCTGGCGAGGCGGAGGCGGCCGCCCCGCGCCCTCCGCCCGCGGCCGCGCGCGAGGCGGGAGAGGCGATCATCCTCCCGCCGCTGGCCAGCGTGGCGCGCGCCCACGGCTTCGGCAGCCTGGCCGAGGCGCGCGTCAGAGGCCTGGCGGCCCGAGAGGCGCGCGCGGA